GAAAGCAACCAGGAACTGGGACCTGCCCCAAACAGGCATTACTCAAAGTCTAACTGAGCAAGCACAGGAGGAAAGGAAAGAAGAAAAACTTAGGAAAACGGAATGGCAGGGACAACAATGCATCTCTCTATACTTTCTCTTAATATAAATGGGCTGAATTCGCCAATTAAAAGAAAACGAACTGAGGACTGGATCAGAAAACAAGACCCATCCATCTGTTGCCTTCAGGAGACCCACCTCTCAGCCAAACATACAAACAAACTCAGAGTGAAGGGGTGGAAAAGGATCTACCAATCAAATTCCCCCAATAAGAAAGCAGGTGTAGCTATCCTGATATCTGACAAAATAAACTTTTCATTAAAATCAGTACAGAAAGACAAGGACGGACACTACATATTAATAAAGGGAACAATCCAAGAGGAGGATATAACCATCATCAACTTATATGCCCCAAATATTGGTGCACCCAGATATGTTAAACAAATGCTCTCAAACTTACAGAATAAAATAGATCCCAATACGATAATACTAGGAGACTTTAACACGCCACTCTCACCAAAGGACAGGTCTACCAACCAGAGGATTGGCAAAGAAGCTACCGAATTAAGTGAGGCCATACTTCAAGCGGAATTAACTGACATCTACCGAGTATTTCACCCTAAAACAACACAGTACACATTCTTCTCAGCAGCTCATGGAACTTTCTCCAAAATAGACCATATCATAGTTCATGCAAGGAACTTAAGCAAATACAAAGGGATCGACATAATCCCCTGTATCCTATCTGACCACAGTGGAATCAAGCTAGCTCTCAATAACAAAGCATACCGCAGAAATTTCTCTAATACATGGAAATTGAACAGCACACTCCTTAACAAGGCCTGGGTAACAGAAGAGATCAGAGAAGAAATAAAGCATTTCCTACAACTCAATGAAAATGAAAACACCTCACAAAGAAACTTGTGGGACACAGCAAAAGCAGTCCTGAGGGGCAAATTTATTGCCCTCAGTGCCCACATCAAGAGAATGGAGACAGACCAAGTAAATAATCTCATGTTGCAACTAAAACAGCTAGAAAAACAAGAAAAAATGGGACCTAAAGCTACTAGACGAAGCCAGATAACCAAATTGAGAGCAGAGATTAACCAATTAGAAAATCAGAAAACCATAACCAAAATAAACCAAACAAAAAGCTGGTTCTTTGAAAAAATAAACAAAATTGATGGCCCGTTGGCAAGATTAATTAAAAAAAGAAGAGAGGAAACCCATATTAATAGGATTAGGGATGCCACGGGAAACATCACAACACGTACCCAAGATATCCAAACAATTCTAACAGACTACTTTCAAAAGCTATACTCTCTAAAGGAAGAAAATCTGGCGGAAATGGATGCATTTTTAGAGAAATACAAGTTACCCAAACTGAGCAAAGAAGAAGTTAACCAATTAAATAAGCCAATATCCTATAATGAGATACAGGAAGCTATCAAAAGTCTTCCAACAAAAAAAAGCCCAGGACCAGATGGATTCACAGCAGAATTCTATAAGACCTTTAAAGAAGAACTAATACCCATACTCCTCAAGCTCTTCAGAGAAACAGAGAAGGAGGGAGCTATCCCAAACTCATTCTACGAAGCCAATATCACACTCATCCCCAAACCAGGCAAAGACCCAACCAAAAAGGAGAATTACAGGCCAATCTCCTTGATGAACACAGATGCAAAGATCCTTAACAAGATTCTAGCTAACAGAATCCAGAAACACATAAAAAAAATAATACACTATGATCAGGTAGGCTTCATCCCAGAGACACAGGGATGGTTTAACATACGTAAGTCAATAAATGTAATCCAGCATATCAACAGAGCCAAGGTCAAGAATCACATGATTATCGCCACAGATGCAGAAAAGGCCTTTGATAAAATTCAACATTCATTCATGCTAAAAGCTCTGGAGAAAATAGGAATAGAAGGAACATTTCTAAAAACAATAAAAGCCATTTATGACAGACCAATAGCCAATATTATACTTAATGGGGAAAAGCTACAACCAATCCTCCTAAAAACAGGAACAAGGCAAGGATGTCCACTGTCTCCACTCCTCTTCAACATAGTCCTAGAACCCTTAGCCAGGGCAATAAGGCAAGAAAAAGACATTAAAGGGATCCGCATAGGGAAAGAAGAAGTGAAACTATCCCTTTTTGCAGACGACATGATACTATACCTCCACGATCCCAAAAACTCCATCCCCAAACTTTTAGAAATCATAAGTCACTTCGGCAAAATAGCAGGATACAAAATAAACCCACAAAAATCAGTTGCCTTCCTATACACTGATAACGCACAGGAAGAGAGGGAAATAAAGGGAGCAACCCCATTCACAATAACCTCCCAAAAAATAAAATATTTAGGAATTAACCTAACCAAAGATGTAAAAGAACTATTTAATGAGAACTATAAAAAGTTAAAGAAAGAAATTGCAGAAGACACTAGGAAATGGAAAGACCTCCCATGCTCCTGGATAGGCCGACTTAATATAGTAAAGATGGTGATACTTCCAAAACTAATATACAAATTCAATGCAATTCCTATTAAAATCCCAATGTACATCACTGAAATACAGAAAACAGTCCAAAAATTTATATGGAACAACAAAAGACCTAGAATAGCCAAAACAATTCTAGGGGATAAAGACAATATGGGAGGGCTATCCATGCCGAACTTCAAACTCTACTACAGAGCTATAATCACAAAGACAGCATGGTACTGGCACAAAAACAGACCCGAAGACCAATGGAACAGAATAGAAGATCCAGATATAAATCCACAGGCCTACAGCCAGCTGATATTCGACAAAGGAGCCAAAGACGTACAATGGAAGAAACACAGTCTCTTCAACCGCTGGTGCTGGGAAAACTGGGCAGCCACATGCAGAAAACTAAAAGTGGACCCCAGCCTATCACCATGCACCAACATCAACTCAAAATGGATTAAAGACCTTAACATTAAACCTGAATCTCTGAAACTACTGCAGGACAGAGTAGGAGAGACACTTGAACTAATAGGCACAGGAAGGAACTTCCTGAACAGAGTCCCAGGGTCACAACAAGTTGGAGAGAGACTCGACAAATGGGACTACCTTAAAATAAAAAGCTTCTGCACAGCTAAATCTATCGCAACTAAGCTAGAAAGACAACCAACTAATTGGGAAAAAATATTTACCAGCAATATATCAGACAAGGGGTTAACATCCTGTATATACAGGGAACTCAAGAAACTAATCCCTCCCAAACCTAACAAACCAATTACTAAATGGGCAAGGGAACTAAAGAGGGACTTCTCAAATGAAGAAATAAAAATGGCAAAGAAACACATGAGGAAATGTTCATCATCCCTGGTGGTGAAGGAAATGCAAATAAAGACAACCCTGAGATACCACCTTACCCCAGTCAGAATGTCCCACATCCACAAATCAGCCAACGACAAATGCTGGAGGGGATGTGGAGAAAGAGGAACCCTATTACACTGCTGGTGGGAATGTACACTTATACAACCACTTTGGAAAGCAGTCTGGAGGGTCCTTAGAAAGCTAAAGATTGACCTCCCTTACGACCCAGTCATACCACTTCTAGGCATCTACCCTGAACAACAGGAACCAATATACAAGGACACGTGCACCTCCATGTTTATTGCAGCACTGTTCGCAATAGCTAGGATATGGAAACAACCTAGGTGTCCCACCACAGATGAATGGATCCAAAAATTGTGGTATCTATACACAATGGAATATTATGCAGCCATTAGAAATGACAAAATAATGGCATTTGCAGGGAAATGGATGGAGCTAGAAGGAATCATGTTGAGCGAGGTAAGCCAAGAACGAAGAGACAAACGGTACATGGTCTCCCTCATAAGTGGATGCTAAATCCAAAAGGTTAGGTGATACGACAAAACTAACAGGACTTAAGAAACAAAGAACTCCCGCTCATCTGGTTGAACCACTACTAAATATTCTCATGCTGCTGATCACAAATATGGTATATAACATGTGAACACTGTTATATATTACAGACTGTGGTAGACAATTTGCTCCAGGGAAGTTAGAATGAACTTGTGACTTTGAAATTATGTAATCATTTAATCACAATCAAAAAAAAAGAACCTCGGGGAAGGGAGGGAGGGAGGGGATGGTAGGGGGAAAACAATGGAGGGGGTAACAATGTTCAAGAGGAAGTGTACTCATAACCTCACTCATGTAACTGTAACCCTCTGTATAGTAGCTTTACAATAAAAAAAAAAAAAAAAAAAAAAAAAACCCTCACCAAAACAGAAGTTCCAGATGAAAAAAATAAATAAATAAAAAAAAAAAAAAGAGATAGTCAACTAACAGGTTCCACAAAACAGGGGACAGCCAATTAAAGAAGCCTGACAAAAACACATAAACCATACATCTGACCCTGTACTGTATTCAAACTGCTGTGTTTCTCAGGCTGCCTGCCTGCCTGCCTGCCTGCCTGCCTGCCTGCCTTCCATATCTCTCTTGTATTTTTATCCTAATAACCCTTTGTTTCTCCTATTCTCCTGTATTTATTTATTAATTTATTTTTGATGATCTTTCAGTAGTTGTACAAAGGTGTTTGTTTCAGTTAAACATGTCAATTTATGAGTATAGTAATTTTGATTAATGTTACCTTTCCACTTTCCTCCCCCTCTCCCTCCCTCCTTCCCTGTTGGTCGGTCGGTCTGTCTTCCCTAGGAAGGGATTCTGGTCTCCCATCATCATCCTTGCAGCCTCTGTTCTTAGAGGACAGTCATACGCAACTTTCATGAGCCTTAGCCCTCAGCTAAGGCTCAGCTAGAAGCTGGGACACTGCCCTGTGTCCTCACTCCAAAGAAAAGCAATCCTTGTGGCTCTTAAGCTGAACTGAAATCCATAGAGATCACACAGTTTGCGCTATGAAAATAACCTGAAACAAGATCCCTTAAGCAAGGCCAACTGACCTCATCGGGGCTGGATGCCTGGTAGGTTCGGTTCTCATCACTGAAGTCTTGATCAGCTTCGGCAAACTCTGTCTCCTCGGTGACACCAGCCCGAGCCTCATAGACAGGGGTCACATTGTGGCAAAGGGCAATGGCTTTCACTGCTTCATGGATTCGACTGCTGACACTTTTCCTAACTTTGGGGGTTGAAGCCTGGGTTCTTCTCAGTGGAGCTGAACTAGGGTTGTTACTGCCTGCTGGAGGATGCACCTTTAAAACAGAGCATGATGTAATTAGAGGCCAGGCCAAACAAGGTGGTCAGTGCAAGATTACTAGGTAGCTAGAGATAAGAAAACTACTACAGGTAAAATAAAACTAAAAGCAGGACAGAATTGTAAATATTCCAATAATACCATAAATAAATCCAACTTGTAATAATTTCTGAACTTAAATGATCTAGTTTATAGCTAACAATACCCAGATCCAGCAGCAGTGTTTTCCAAAGAAAACTTGTCCTATTTCAGTTATGTTTAGGTAAAGACCTGTTCATGACGCACGCGTGCATCTGGCTCCACTGGGCTCAGCTGGCTGTGTGGGTGAACTGTCACCCTCCAGTGGTGGCTTTCTCTTCTTTACGTCCTACCTAAGCAGGTGTCAGACAGCACTTCCCACTTCTGAGACTCACAACAGTCCTTAGAAAGCAGACTAGGGCCAGAGCCAGTAAGCCTGGGAGGGGTCAGCTTGGTGTTCAGTTGTATTGGCTCACATGATGCCCACCCAGCAGAAGAGGGGCTCAGCCATTTCCTCTCCTGCATCCTGTTGCATTCACTCATGCAAGTAAATTTCACACAAATGCCACTGAAGATGATGCATTCTACTACCAAATGTGTCTAGTGGGGAAATATAATCAGGTTAGAAAAGTTTTGTGTGAAGCTGGGAGCCAGTGGCTCACACTTACAATCCTAACTACTCAAGAGGCTGAGATCTGAGGATCACTGTTTGAAGCCAGCAGGGCAAGAAAGTCTGTAACACTCTTATTTCCAATTAAACACCAAAAAAGCTGGAAGTGGACCTTGGCTCAAGTGGTAGAGTACTAGACTTGAATGAAAGCTCAGTAATAGCACCCAGGCACACAAGTTCCAAGTCCTACGGATGGAACCAAAAAAAAAAGGAAAAAAAAAATCTGTGCTACCTTACAGCAGACCTACTAGACATCCATTCTAATAATAAACAGAATACAAATAAGGAAAAACATCAATTTCATATCTAAAGCACTCTATGATTAGCCTATAGACAGCATTTAGTAAGGATGATCTTTAAATTTTTCTTACGGTATAAGTATTAAGTATTTGTTGTCTCTATATAATAATTTTTTTCTGCTTTTAATTTTTTTCCTGGTAAAATAATAATTTACTTATAGCTATTAAAATCATATTCCTAGATAATATAAATTAACTTTAAAAACAGTTATTATCTGGTACTATTTCAATCTTGACAAAGATTCCTAAGAGAAGGGAGACTTTATTTGTTCTACTTTTTAGTTTTTTCTTCTATTAATAAATATTTTAAGCCTGGGGATGTAAGTCAATGCTTACCAAGTATGTATGTGTAGGGCACTGGGTCTGAACCCCTGCACTACAAAAAATATACATAAATGTTCTATATTATAAAAAAAAACTCCATACCTTAATGCATCACATCCACATGAGACACTCAGTGGTGTTGGTGCATATAGATATACGCTTATACAAGAACAAACATGACGTATAATAAAATATATAAACACATAAAAGAATGATTTCATGTGGCAACATCTCAGAAATAAAGTATATGACAGAATAGTATCAAACATAGAAGAGAAAGTCATTAAGATATTAAATACATTATTACAACTTTCTACACTGGGAAAGTATATTTTAGTTGAAGCAGCATCAAATCTGAAAGAGATTACTGTAACGTGTGTAGCTGCCATCACGGGCCTGGGGCTGAAGTGCTGGCCTGACACCAGGGTAAGCTCTCGCACACTGAGGCCATGTGGATCTTCACTAAAGCAGTGGCGAGTACCATATTCAAAGCAAACTAGCAAAAAGACAGAGAAGCAGCCTGAGAAGGTGAACAATTCCTGACAGATTACAATGCTGGACTTGGCATTTTATACAGGTTTAAAATGCTATTAAATTGCTAGGCTTAATGATTCTGACACAGATCTAAATTATGACAGTTTGCTAAAAGAAGTCAAATAAATGAGGGGGGGGGGGGGGAAACTCCACTATTTGTGGCCAGGACCATATCAATTATCAATTGGATCTAAACATAGTTCCTGCCCTGTCAGGAACATGGACAGTTAGGAGTGAATCACTCATGCAGCATGTCTGTTTGTAAACTTCTGCAGATGAACTCTAAGCTGTATCCTAATGTTTAAAGCAAAACAAATAATCCTTGGTCCTGTAATCTCAAACAGCTATAGTAAGATGGTAACGCCTTTTTTTAAAAGTTCTACTTACTAAGAGCATGTAATTATTTACAGGTAAAATAATGGAGGATTTGTGATTTACGTTAAAATAACCTAGGCAGAGAGAGACTGGCCATGAAGCAAGCTGCCTGCCATGCGCCATGCACACTCCAGCAACTCTGCTGGAGCTGAGTGAAAATTCCATGACTGCTCACAGCACAGCAGCACAGCATCTACTTATGTTACTGAAAAAGAAGAGAGAATGCACTGTTGGAAAGTTGAAGAAAGTGTTATTACAGAGAAAAGCAAAAGGATTGTTTTTATTGTTTAAACAACTCACTAAGCAAACGTCTATGAATAATATATGTCCAGCATGTCTTCTATAACCACACTAATGTAGAAATGTTTAGGCAATGCTGCTTCTTGATTGAGATGTTAGTAGTGATCACTCAAGGAAGCATAGAAACAGCTAACGTTATCAGAGGAGATTGCTACTGCACACATGCTCGGCTCAGAAGCACATTCATGTACCTGGGAATAGGAATTCAGGACATGGCTCTGGATCTCATCCATGGTGTCAGTTCCATAGGAGACGGTGCCCAGATGTAGTCGCTTGAATACCATCTCATTCCGAGTGAGGGTGCCTGTGAGAGTCAACAGCAACAGTGAACGGGCAGCATGCGCAATGCTGGCCGCTGCTTACGTGTGTGCAGTGTGTGTGCAACCAGGAAGCTGGGGCCCCTGCTGGAAGACGGAGTGCTCACAGAACGTTCTTTGCTATCATGCCCATTTGGGTCCTGAGGACAAGAAGTTTTCTGCCTGGTACAGCCCATTCCCCCTTAACAGTCTTTTTCTTCCCCCTTTCTTCCTGGTCCTGGGGCTTGAACTAGGCCTGGGCACTGTCCCTTCTTTTGCTCAAGACTATTTTTCTACCACTTGGCCCACAGTACCACTTCCAGCTTTTTTTCAGTAGTTTTTTGGAGAGAAGGGTCTAGTGGGCTTTCTTGCTGGGGCTTGCTTCCAATGTGATCCTCAAATCTCAGCCTCTTGTGTAGTAGTACGAGGCATGAGCCACTAGTGCCTAGCTCCTTAACAGGCATGCTGTAGTTATACAAAGAAAGCCTGGACTTGGCTTGGCAGCCAGACTTACTATTTGGCACAAATGTAACTTCTGCCTGCTATGAAAGAGAGGCATAAAATAGAAAACAGCCACTATAACTTCATAATCATGGTATAGCACACTGTAAGAGAAAGATAATAAGTAGCAGCAAATTAACATGACCTACCTGTTTTAGAAATTGTAGTTTGATAACAGGAGTTTTAGTAGAAGGAACAGATGTTCCAAATGTACCCAACCCTTAGTGTGCATTTGTACCATTTGGAACAATAGGAAATCAATCTACCAAATAGGAGATAGTTTTCTTGGGTGAGTTTCTAAAAAGAGAGCTATGGGGGTGTGCTGTTGAAGGTTTGCTCCTGAGCAACACAAGGATGGGCAGGTAAAGCTATCTAACTTACTGTACATATACAAATACAGGACAACACAGAAACAGTTCATTGCCCATGCATATGAGCGTAAGGTACTGCTTGAATCTTGCCCGCCCCCGTCCCCCCTTGGAGCTCCTGCACTTGACTCAGAGAATAGATAACAAAGATTCTACTGACACTGATATAGTGGTATGTGTGATGACCACTAAGTGTGAATACATACAGCAGTATAATAATTTTAACGAAGGCCAGGATTTTTACATGGTCACAAAATGCCCGTTACTACACTAGTTTTTATTTTCTTTGACATATGTGATATGGAAAACATACACAACTAAGCCCATATAGGTCAGTTAGGATTTGTGTGAGAGTGAAAACAGGCCATTGGCCAGGAACTTTCCACTAGAACACAACCCTCTTCAAAAAAAGGGGTCTATATTATGTAATTATAATTTGAGACCCTTCTGATAAATGCTTTTACAATGGATATGATACATTAAAGTATTACAAATCCCTAAAAGTAGCTATTGCTCATTAATTTTATAAATTTTACTTTTGCAGAGTTCTATGCAGCCCCTTCAAAGCGGCTAAACCTTAAGTAGAGGACCCTTAAGTTTCAAAGAAGCAGAAAGGAAACAATCACAATTATATAAGGACTGGTTAAATAAAGGTGAATTAACTTTAATTAGCAACTATCTAGCTTCCAAATAAAATAGGGAATACTTATAAAAATAAGCAGTTTATATAACAAGGAGCTGAGATGAAAAAATGAGCATTCTATTATCTAAAATCATACATTAAATTGTAGAAAAATAAAGCATTCACCTCTGGGTGTGAAGGTTTCACCCAGTGAAACCTTTTCCTAAAATCCACTTAACAAATATATTACACATATTAAAATATTTTTCTTTTTAGATTACTTGGTCTAACTTGCAATCCTTTTTAAGACTTCATATGCTGAGCATGAAGCAGGGCAGCTCATGACAGGCAAGTTAGGAGTAAATTCTACATCAGTCTGAAGTAGGGCTCTCATTAATACTACTTGTGTCAACCTAACTTTGGTTTTTTGTTTTGTTTGGTCGTGGGGCTTGAAGTCAAGGCCAGAGGGTATTGTTTCTGAGCTTTTTCTTTGTTAAAGGATAGCACTCTACCTCTTGATTCACAGTCACAGCTCTTACTTCTGGGTTTTTGGTGGTTAACTGGAGATAAGAGTCTCACAACTTACTTGTCCCTTACTTGTCCCAAATGGCTTCAATCCTCAGATTTCAGCCTCTTGAGTAGCTAGGATTATAGGCATGAGCCACCAGTGTCTGACCAACTCAACTTAACATTTTATTAATGAGCCATTTTATACGTAAACCTATCAAAGTAGCACTACCAGCTAAGGACGAATTCTTCAACCTATGAACTTTGGGGCATCACAGCCAGTGTCCTATAGCAAAGTCTGTGGACTATAATAAAGCTGCCGCTGGTTACGCTCCAGGGGTCAAGTGAAGGAAGGGTCAGTTTGAGAGAACTAATCCACACTCTTATTCACACTTCTAGACACACTGGTACTCACTACTTCTGGTAGTTAATATGTTTCCCCTAGATTCTTTTCCTATAAAACTGAATACAATGTCAAATGGATTAGATTCAAAAATGAAAGCCAAACTGATGGCTGCTTTGTCCTGACCCAATTACTTCCAAACTTACGTCCATAATTTCTCAACAGCATTAAATTTGTAGAGCTACATTTATTGTTAGAAACACAAGCACATTCATTTTTTTACATTTTCCAATCATTTATAAATTAAAAGAAAAGGGATTTTTAAGTACAGGAATGTTGTTTCTACCATAAAGGCAAGAGAGCAAATACTCAGGGCCAAAAATGAGGCAAAGCAAGGGAAAAAAAAGAAAAAAGACACAGAGGCACAGCCATCAGCCAGTCAGGTCCATTAGCTGATATGAGCTTGCCAAACTTAGAGGACTGCAGCAGCAGAGGGGTGCACAGACATGGTAACCAGGCCCTGCACAAAACCTGGGCAACCTGAAGATGAAGGGTTCAAAAGGCATTCATGGCGGAACAACCAGAAGCATCGTATAGTATATAACCGAGTCATCTGAAGAAACTTCCCAGAATTTATTTCTGATATGTACTTTACAAAATTGAGGTAATACAAGAAAGAAGAAATTTAGCACAAGGGTACACACCTGAGTAATGCTGCAATTGTTCTGACACTATGTTTTCCTGTTACTGTGAGCTTTTGTGAGAGATGAATTATTCACTGAGGTGAGCCATTCGTGTGTGCAGCACAGGCTGACGTGCGCAGAGACTGTGTACTGTAAATACTGTTGATAAATAAGCTCAGGACTGTTGGACCACTCCCACTGGGCTCCAGCCTCTGACCTCGGGCTTCCTTCCCTTCTAGCTCTTCATCCACTAACCTACGCTGTCCAGGCCATCAGTATCTCATTCCTCTTCACAGAATCAAGCCAGGGCTCAATCTAATTATTGCAAGTCGTTTCAAGTCATCTGATGGCAAAACAGGAACTCCTAATTCTTAGGCACATTTCGGCCCCATTAAACTACCTATAACGGAGCATATCCAAAGTAGGACACATTGCTTTATTACAAAAATTTATGGTGCTATAAAAATCTGACTTATGTAACTGTAACCCCTTTGTACATCACCGTTACAACAAAAAATACACTAAATAAACACAGCCGGTTGTAAAGGAAATTGCCAAGGGGAAAAAAAATCAAATGATGGAAATTTTTTACCTGGATGTTAGATCATGTATCTCTGAGTCACACGAGAAAATGGCATAGTAAACATGAATTCCGTGTACTATCTGCCTCATTAAAGGCAACTTCAAACAAAGATATCTCAGATACATGGAGGAAAAGTTAGCAGGCCGGGACAAGGGCAGAAGATGCTACAGCCTGCGTTACACAGCTATGCAGTTTTGGTTCATATAGTAATTATATCACTTATCTGGGGCATCATTTTTTCCAGAGATTACTGGAGAAATACCTGATATTTCCAAATGCAGTAAGTTCATAGTCAACATATATTCTCTAAAATCAAAGATACTTCCTTATAATCATTCCATTCAGATAATTTCTAAATAGTAAATCAAGAGTTCTAAAGTACACCACTTTAGCTAACTGTCCTTTTATTTGGTCCTAGCCCGAGTTGTCATTAGAATTGTATTTAAGATATGAGTTTCCTAACTTTACAATGTCATTATATTTTGATCCTTGGAGAAATCTTGGAAATAATTTTACACATGCACAAAGACCCCTGGAAGATGCTAAAGCACCAGTTATATTGTTGTATATATACAGTTAGTTGAAAATACTTTAAATGATATATGAAGCTTAGGTCTGAACTATTTCATCCTCCTTTCTGATCATATATTTTTATAGAGCTCTGTTTTTAGATCCTTAAAAACCCTTTATTCGGTTACTAAGTTGAAGCCAGAGAGATTACAAAGACAATTCAGAACAGTTTCTTAAGAATGAGCAATTTAAAAGGCTATAATTTTGGTTGTTAAATTTAGGTCTGAGTTAATTTTTATGTAAGATGCTCATTTTTTTTTTTAATACATAGATATCCAGTTAGTCCAGCACCATTTCTTTTTAAAGTCTGTCCCTTTCCCACAAAACTCTCTTGGCATCCTTGTTAAAAGATAAGTTGACCATCAATATTAGGATTTGTTTATGGCCTCTAATTGTATTCTATCAATCTGTGTCTATCTTTATATGATTCCACACTATTCTTAATGAATATGTTTAGTAGTCAGTTTAAACGTGGAGAAATGTAATTCTTTTAGTTTTATTCTTTTACAGGATGGTTTTAATTGTTCTGGGTCCCTCCCAGTATCTCTATGTGATTTACAGGAGGCCAATTTTTGCAAAGAAGGTAACCAGGATTTTACTAGGTATCATATATAACCTGTAGATACATTTGGGGAGCTTTCTTGCTGTCTTAACAATAAAAAATATTTTATGACAGTATTATAAATGGAATTGTTGTCTTCTTTTAGTTCCTTGTTATACACAGAACTGTGTTATTTTTGTATGTGGATCTTGCTTTCTTAGTAACCTTGCTTACTACTACATTTTTAAGAGATATCTCAGGACCATGCCTCATAGAACAGCTATATTTTC